CTTAAAACAGGCAGTCACACGGAACATTTTGCAGAGGATCTTATTAGGTGCAGCCAAAGGGCAATAAATTGAAATAGTCAATTCTCTAGGACAAAATTTATTTTATTGGCTTTTTGAAATATGCTAATTAATATAAAGGAAAGAGGGCAAATTAAAAGCTGTTCATAAGCTACCATCCACCTGAAAAAAATTGTCTTTCCCTCCTGCTGACCAAATTCATCTTTTCCCTGCCCTGATTAAAAACACTTTTTTGCCTACTCCCCTACCGCCAACTTGCCTTTCTTGCCCCTCTGCTGACCAAATTCAACTTTCCCCTTCCCTCATTAAAAAAAACGCCGATTGGTGGAGTAATTCATCGAGTCTCTAGCTTCTATGGGCTTCATGAATACATTAACCACTCAGCAGATCAGTGGGTGACTCGCATGTTCAGCTATTGATAGCACACGGTTGCCCACATTTAGCAGATGTTATTTCCCCCAATGCGTTTTTTTATTATACCCTGTCCTAAAGGCTGTTTTGCCCACCTTGCGATATTTTTTTATGTAAGTACCCTACCCACTAAAAAAAGTTTCCCTGTCTTTGCATTTTTTTTAAGATTCTGCCCTACCCACTGAGGGGTACTGATATTTCCCGCCCCCTACAAAAAATAGAAAAAAAAAACCTGCTCTCAACAAAAATCCCTTGGAACAGCTTTTCCGATGAACAGCTCCATTGGCTGCACCTGTCTTAAAACAGGGAGTCACACGGAATATTTCTCAGGGTACCTTAAAACAGGGAGTCACAGGGAACATTTCGATCTTAAAACAGTAGTTGCAGTGCTCATTTCACAAGGACCTTAACACAGAGAGTCACACCGAACATTTCTCAGGGGACCTTAAGACAGGTAGTCACAGTGAACATTTCACAAGGATCTTAACACAGGTAGTCACACGGAATATTTCTCAGGGTACCTTAAAACAGGGAGTCACAGGGAACATTTCGATCTTAAAACAGTAGTTGCAGTGCTCATTTCACAAGGACCTTAACACAGAGAGTCACACCGAACATTTCTCAGGGGACCTTAAGACAGGTAGTCACAGTGAACATTTCACAAGGATCTTAACACAGGTAGTCACACAGAACATTTCTCAGGGGACCTTAAGACAGGTAGTCACACGGAACATTTCTCAGGGGGCCTTAAAACAGGTAGTCACACTGAACATTTTGCAGAGGATTTTAAAACAGTAGTTGCAGTGCTCATTTCACAAGGATCTTAAAACAGGGAGTCACACAGAACATTTCTCAGGGGACCTTAAAACAGGGAGTCACAGGGAACATTTCTCAGGGGA